TCAGGCCTATTTATCAATTTTGTGGTGTATAACTTTCGCATTTTAGTACGTAATGTTTATTTTGAATCTTCAAATATTCTTGAAACTTAAAAGAAAATTGTTATTTAAAAATTTACTGAAAATCGGTAGCCAAAATTATTTATCTAAGTGTTATTTGATTTTCGTGTTAACCTGTAATTTCGTTAGTCGCACGCACCTTTTGTTGCTTCACACAAAAAAAAACGATACGAAATGTAACGATCGATTTTGTTCCCAATCTCACGCCATTACAGAAAAAGCTTTTGAACACCTGTAAACTCCGAGCGCTTCGGAGTAAGTGATATTTTTAATGACTCTTCGGATCGTTTTCAAGTTCAAGAAATGTAAATTACAATTTTATGAAAAACGAAGGTTGTTCTCTTATTTCAGTGTGAATCATCGCACGCCTGCCAGTCGCTGACGCCGCTTGTTGAAACTGAAAAGAAAAAGTAAACTCTTTTAAGATTATCATCGGCTTCTTTTTCACCCCACCACTCTTCTTAGCAAAAAAGGTCGCCATTTCGTTTGTTTGTTACTCGCCAAAAACTATCAAATGCACTCAAAAGCTTAAAATCGAAAAAAGTTTACAGGAATCGACCAATCGAGCGAGCGAGCGAGTGCCAATCCTCCACATCATATCTACAACTCGCTCTTGCGCATGCGCGCAATTCACGAGTTAAAAAAGACACCCAGCATAAATGCGGCTCAACTAACCACAGGCATCCTAAGCTCACATCTCGGGAAAAGCGAGACATTAATTCTGGACATGTGCGCATTTATTCATAATAGTGTCTCACGGTGTGTGACGTGTGTAAGGTTACGGAACCGTATGGAATTTGAACAGTTTAAAAGGAATGGTATGGGAATCGAAAAACGGACTATTCACATAGCTAAATATTCCGAAATATGAACATTTTACACCTAAGATCAAAAAGCTTACTCCTTTTCACTGAGTTCACTGGACAAAGTTTTGATTGGAGTAAAAGGAACTTATATCAGGTCCTTTTCAAAGTCTAATGCTGACAAGCAAACTCTACTTCTCAGAAATATGAGAGTTCTGAAAAAAAGGTGTTACTCCCAGTTTTAATCACGTTCTGGGGCATTAATTCTCTGGCGAAAGGAAAAATAAACAACTGGTAAGTGATGTCGCTTATTATTATTCGTAGTTATAGTTTCAGTAGCCCACGTACCCGTTCTATTTACAATGTAGCAAAAGGAAGAAAAAAAAGGGAAGACTGGAACCTGGTGCATTGAAAATCGCTAAATTGCTAAAATCCCTAAATCGCTAAACGAGGTGACTCATTCGGAGAAATGCGAGGTAGTGATCTAAGCGAGAGGTCTCTGAACTCATAAATCTGTCTTACGCTTTTTCCAACGTATAAAAGTGTTTCTTTAAGATTCTACTAACCTGTATGATAAAGTTATTTGGGAAACCAGAGACCAAAACGGACTGAAACATGCAAGTCGAGCTTGTAGACAATGTGTTTGGAAGCGGAAGAACAAGCCAGGGTAAGTAGCAATTAGCTGATGAGTACCTAACACTGAGTTGAGACGACCGATAATTGTTACTTTCGTAAGACAGCATAAAACTACAAAACATGACAGGAGTCCGAAGTTGTATCAAAGTAATGGGACGTTAGGGGGCAGATAGCTCGCTGAGAGAAGAGTACCAGGAGTCTTGGATCGCAATAGCTTTTTGTTTCATGAACCACTGCCTTGTTGTTACAACTTCTACTAACTTCACCAACAACTCCAACTCCCACTACTATTGCCAAAAAGCTTAACGCTTGCATTATCATTTGGCTGTGCTTTCTTTACCTTGCTTAGGGTAAAGGTGAGCTGTGATGACGCCTAAGCTTCATGCGAGATTGATGCACATATGAACGCGTTTAATAAACAATCTGAAACAGTAACGGTTTATTTAGAGATAACCTTAAGGGCTAGGAAAACACTCACAGATGTGAACCTTGCGCTAAAAGAAAGTACAAAAGCTTCATGCAAATAAAGCGCATAAAATAGCGTAGTATATATGGTAAACACTTAACCCGGCGCTGGATAGCGATTTATCCAGTGAATAGCACTATCTAGCCTTTGAACAACCGAGGCCTAGTGGATAGCCCAAGTTTTAATTTTTCGTACAAGTTTTGTCGTTTATTTTCTTATCATTTCAACCGTGACTAAACAGACAAAAAAAAAGAAAAATATTTCGAGCCCATGAAAAGTAACTAATAAGGCTTATTTCACATCATATTTTTCTACTTTGATCGAGGTATTTGAGAGCATTTTAAGGCAGACGACTATGAAAAAAATTGAATTTTTCTTACTTCCTTTTCAGTTTCTGCATTTTAAAAAAAATTGTAATTATTGCAAGGGCCCCACTGTATTTTGTCTTGCAAGAAAAATGAGAGAACTCAGATGTTAATTCCACCGTTTGGGTTTTACCATGAAAAAATGTGCCTCTAATGAATGGTGCTAGTTAGAAAAATTGTGCGCGCTCAAAGCCCGTGCAGTTAGACAAGCTATTCAGGGAAAGGCTCATTAAACCACGTGCATACACAAGTCTTAGAGTGCGTTCCTTTGGGAAAATCTGGTCGGGATTTCTGATCTGTGGCGTTCCTTTCAAGCAAATCCATTTTCAGGTCAGTGATCTATCAAATCCACTCTGGACAAGGATTCATCGGATCACTGATCTCCGTAATCAAAAGACGGATCATTGGATCATTGATCTAACGCGTTTCTTTGGGCCACGTATCATTTCTGGTAACAGGCGTAAGCAGGTAAGTGTTTGTCAACACTTATATAAGCAAGTGAAACTTTGTAAACTAATTATCAATGTAAACTAGGCCATTCACAAATTCAAGGGAGGTTTAAGGTCGAAGCTACGTTCTCTTTAATTCTTTCATTCTTTTCAGTCGCTTGAATTTCTGCCCAGAAACTGTCAATTACTCAGCAGTAGACATTGTGTAGCGTCTTTTTTTTTTTTTTTTTTTTTTTTTTTTCGAATTCGACTACTTCGAACTTCTTCTTTGTAACTGTTGTCGTGCGGAGAACCATTTCTAATCTTTCATCTTCCTTCCTGAAATTTCGCATTAACAACACAGCGAAAGCGTGGTCCGTGCTCTTAAATTTTAATTAGTTACAAGTTTGAAGCGAAACGCGCCTCACGGAAAATTCAGTGTCTTGAGTAATGCGTATTAATCTTGACAGAGTATATCTGTAGCTGAAATTTCGTTAGCCTTTTTGTTTGCTTCTTTTGTAGGCGATAATCTGCAAACGTTTGCACTTAATTCTGCCATACGATTCTCCAATCGCAGGTTAAGGTCACAAAAATAAAGGAAATCATCACCAAGAATCGAAGCTCATGATTTTTAAACATATTCTCCTTAAGAAATGTCGAGAGAACAGTATTGAGAATGTGCACACTGATGTGAAGGGCTAAGGAGAGATTCAAACTAAACAATTTTTCCAATCTAATCACTCCCCAGGTGAAACTTTGAAAAAATGAGATAAATTCATCGATTATTGACTAACCAAGTTTGCCATGTTTCAGCAAAA